TGCGTGTTGCACGCTGCCAGGCGGTGCGTGCGGCTGGGCGGCCCGCTGTGCGTGCTATTGCCTTATGACTGCGCCGCAGTGTGCTTCCGGCTGGCATGCCCATAACACCAGGAGTGACATGATGCATGCATAGGAGGTCAGCGAGCACGTCTCGTAGGTCGACACCTGGACCTCAGTCAGATCGACAAGTCCTCAAGAGAAGTCGCTCCTCACGCCGAGGTCACTTCGACCGGTACTGACGAGGTACCAAAGGCCGGAATGTCCTCGAGGTGGTCACTCTTCACGCTAAGGTCCATTAGACTAGTAACGATGAGGTACCACAGGTCGGTCCTAGACGAGGTGTTGCTAGCCGCCCTGCCGAGGTGCCTGAATTGTGTACAAGGTGTTCGGACTGGTTCCAAGGTGTGCCTCCTTGACTAATGGGATCCGTAGCTGTTCATGTGGTGTTAAGGTGTCATGCGGCGGTCCTATCATGCCACATATTACTAGAGGGCCAAATCTGCCCTCATCAATGACCCTGATATAGAATATAATGCCCTTGAGTAAGGTTTGGATGTTTGGTTTCATTGGAATGTAGTTTTAGAGATTCAAACAGAAACCAAGAAAACGCACAGAGATACACAGAAGAAAAGGATTAATTTAACGTAGTTTGGCAATTGTTGCTTACATGAACCCAGTTTAAAAATTCACTAGAATTACAACCCTGGCTTCTCCTGCTTATTTCTTATTTCTGATGAAGAATAGAGTTTTTCTCTTATAAACCCTAATCCAACCTCCAGTGTAAACAGCATAGGAAATACCAATACCCTAAGTACCCAACCCTCTGCTTGTGGTGTACACGTATTGTACATGTATAGCACAAGAGATCAACAAAATATCTTGAGTTATTTGAGTTCCGGTGGTAATGGGCTCGTCTTTGATCTTCGTGTTCAGGTGTCAGTGAATTCGATAAACTAGTTACTTCCCTATCTAGACATATACAGTAACCGTGATATCAATGAAAACAAATGATGATAATTTGCCACTATTTAAAGTAATCCCCAGCCACATATATTAATGCATGAATTTTATCCTTTCTAAGCAAACTTGGTCAGTTGAGCAATTCACAAACTCTGCAACAGAAAGAATCTTTCTAGATAAGGATCACAATCAAATGGAAATGGAGCAAGTACGTATTAAAAGCTCTAGTGGGTTATGGTCTTTACTCCTTAATTTGATGAAGCATAGAAGTCTGGCTTGGTAGTTCACCAATCACCACCTTAATTTTACTCCAAATTGATTAATGTTACAAAAATCCCTGCCTGGATGCCTCTCAAGGTCAAGGAAGAGAAAGCTTCCTCCACCAAATTCCTTGGTTGTCTCCTGTTCGTGATTCTCCCCTCATAATAATGCCAACAGAAACCCGGCCGCCTTGATTATTTGATCAATTCCCTGTGAAGACCCAAGGGTTAGGGAGCGACCTGCTTGATGAGGTTTGTCAAACTAGTTGGGCTCATTTCTTGGACGACGGCCCAGATAAGATGGTCGTGACTTGGACTCCTTGGTGCTGTTCTCAACTTGGTGCTGTTCTCAACCCATAGCTGACGATCAAGGTGGTTTGTCAAATTAGTTGGAGCGATGCATCTTCTCACTTCAGATCTTAATAAACTATAAATCCATTCTAACTATGATGGATCTGATTGAGTCTCTATTGGCAACGGTTTAGGTTTACAGATTGCTCATTCTGACTCTTCTACTATTTCGACTTTATCTTCCAGATCACTGTTTATGAATAATACTCTGCATGTTCTCCGGATCTCCTTCAATCTCTTATCTGTGGTTTGGTTTGCTGCCGATAATAATGTCTACTTTGAATTTCATCCTGATGAATTTTTTGTGAAGGATCAACGCACCGGGATGATAATTCTTCAAGGGCCAAATAAGGCTGGTTTGTATCAGTTTCATCTCCCTATCACGACACCAGCTTTGTCCCCCTCTGCATTTGTAGGTATTCGTGCCAGCCCTACGATCTGGCACCATCGACTGGGTCACCTTGTTGTCAAAGTGACTCAAGCTATTATCTCTTCTCAGCATTTACCTCTTACTTATAGTACTGCATTTAATTTTTGTTCAGCTTTCTCAATTGCCAAAAGTCATGTACTTCCCTTTGCCAGAAATCATACTATTCGTAAAAATCCTTTGGAATTAATTCATTGTAATTTATGGGGATCCTCTCCAGTACCATCTGCTTCCAACTATCATTACTATATTCTTTTTGTTGATGATTTCAGTCAGTACAGTTGGATTTTTCCTCTCACCTGCAAATCTGAGGCTTTTAATGTGTTCTTGAAATTCAAAGCTACTGCTAAATTATTATTTGATGCTAAAATTAAATATTTCCAAAGTGATGGTGGCTCTGAATTCAAGACTTTTGAAAATTATTTTAATCATGTGGGTATCTCTCGCCATATTTCATGTACACACCCAAGTACAGAATGGGCGAGCTGAATGCAAACATCGCAATATTGTTGAGACTGGTCTATCTCTCACGACTCATGCTGGAGTCCCTCCTAAATATTAGTTCGAGTCCTTCTCCATTGCCGCCTATCTCATTAATCGGCTTCCTACTTTGGTTCTTGGGTTGTGCTCTTTGTTTGAGAAATTATTTGGGCATCCTCCGGATTACCTCGAACTCCATGCCCTTGGGTTTGAATGTTTTTCTCACGTTCGGCCATATAACAAGCACAAGTTACAACCTTGCTCCCTTTCATGTGTATTTCTTGAGTATTCTATTTCTCACAAATCTGCATTAGCCTATAAGATGGGTCTTTATTTCTTGCAATGCTATTTTCAATGAGGAATATTTTCCGTTTCTTCATCATACGGCTTACTTCATTGCCACCATCGTTGACCCTGCCTCCTCCAGTTGGGGCTCCTTCCCTTGTTGCTGCTTCAGACACTAGTTCTCCAGGTGAAGTCTTATCTTCCCCATCGTCCTCTCAAGATGCTGCGCCTTCATCTTCCACTACTGAATCCACTGATTTTGCCTTACAACCTTCTTCTTCCTTGCATCCGATGACCACTCGAGCTCGACATGGCATATTCAAGCCAAATCCAAGGTATGCCTTACTTGCTAGTCCCCTTGTTGAATCTAAGCCGACTTGTTATTCTCAAGCTCATAAGGATCCTCGGTGGGTTCTTGTCATGACTGATGAATATAAGGCCTTGCTTCAAAATAAAACTTGGACCCTTGTCCCAGCCCCACCTGATAAAAATATTACTAGAAACAAATGGGTTTTTAAAATCAAGCGCAAGTCTGATGGTTCGGTTGAACGTTTCAAAGCACGCCTTGTTGCCAAAGGCTTCTCCCAAGAAGCAGGCCTTGATTATGATGAAACATTCAGACCTGTAGTCAAACCGGCTACCATTCGCATAGTGCTCTCTCTCTTGCTATTTGAAGGGGATGAGAGATCCATCGTATGGACGCCCAAATCTTGCGAATAAGGTGGGCGAATTTCAAAAATTTTTCTCTCCCTTTCAACTGGGAATCGAATTCCCTATTTAGAATATCATATTTTCAATGATCAATCTTGAACCATAAACTGAACCGGATCTAAACAAAAGCAGTAGGAGAGAATTATACCTGATACGGAGAAGTAATATCTCCCAATGGAGGTGTTCACGCCCAAGGAATGATCCAAAGACTGCTCCCACTAAAAATGACGCAATGCAAGATGGAGCAGAATCAGCAGAGTTCTTCTCCAAGAACCTAGTCCTTTGCAAGGAATAGCATGATGACACGTGAGCACAAATTCCTATCAATTCTTTCACAAAGAACTGATATCAAGATCAAATCTTGACTTCTCCCACTGAATTGGAGATCGAACTGGCAACCTAGTCCTTCGCAGGGTTGCTTGATTCTTTCTTCTGTGATTTCAGCACTAGAGAGGATGTGAATATCTCTCTTCTAAAGGTTGCCCCCCCTTCCTTCTTTTGTAACCCTAAAAGATCAGCTCCTAATCCAATTAGGAGTTGCTGATCCAAATCATATTTGGATCAGACATCCCATTAGGTGATAAGGATAAACCCTTATCTTATCTGCAGATTGGATTAGCCTTCTCCTAATCTCATTAGGAGGTTTCTAGATCTGAATCACATTCAGATCTGGACTCTCTAAGTGGATAGGGTTAAGACTCTATCCTATCTGCTAATCTATCTCAGAATTCGCCCCATATTTAACTAATTAAATAGCCCAGTTCGAAATGGACTTTAGGCCCATTAAGGTCCAGTGCTCACTTAGCCTTCCTAACTATTGTCCAGTTGGGCTTCCTTGTATGGCGTGGGACCCAAGCATTGATCTATACATCAGTCACATGGGTTCAGCCCAGCCTTTGTTACAAGGCCTGGCCGAATACACTGTTATGGACAGTGCA